ATATTTTTATATAAAATAATTTTTTATTATTATTAAATGATATATCAAACAAGAATATAATATATATATATTTTTTTAACAAAGAAAAATAATACGTGTTATTTCATTTTATAATTAATCTATGAAATAAATCTATATGTGACATACTTATGATGTTTGCTAATATGATAAGTTTTATCTTTAATAGAACAGACCAAAATAAAATTACTCTAAAAATATCTTAGTAATGATGTTTTTTAGATAGATTTCTAGTAAAAAATTCGTGTGTTTTTTTTTCTCTTTGTGGATACAAATATTCTTATTAAGTAATTTAACTTATTGCATTTTTCTTTAAATATAAAAATAAAACTACTAAACTTAAAATTATTGCTTACATTACAATTTATTTGAATAAGAAAAATGAAACAATTATTTTATAATCAATTAAATCATTTTTACGGCTTCTTTCTTTAAGATTTATATATATTTTCTCTCACTTTAGAGTTATTTTTGGTATCATTTTTTCAATAAATTTTATAGATCTGATATTTCCAACGACATTTACTTTGGTGTAAAGATCAATAACGTTTAAACTTCCGTATCTACAGGAGGTTAAAGCATTATATAAAATTCATGTTACATAAATAAATTTATATCAATGTTTAAAATTTTTACTTTAAAAAAGTTTATTTTACTTTATTTTCAAAGATAAACTACATCTGACCTAATTTTGGGATGTCACCAGCTGATGGTAAAAATGTGTCACTAGTAAGGAGAATCCATAGTCAAGGTCGTCTGTCTTCGTTGGACCAACAGTAAAAAAACTGTTAAATACATACATTTATTTAATTTTTTTATTTACTTATTTAATTACGTTTTCTATTCTTTTCCCAGAATATATTTTTTATATAATTCTGCACTGTTTCCAAATAAGTAAACAAACCATAAATCAATTCGTACTTTTTTTAAGTTTTAAAACGGGTTCCTCTTTTGTTTTCTCCATAATCTTCGTAATGGTAATGCGAAAAGTACACCGAAATATTTTATTTAGAAAATATTATGACTTACGAAATAAGCTTTAAAATTACCTGCAATTAATATAAAAAAACCCGATTTTTGACTATGTTTCTTATTACGAACAAAGATATAAAGATATGAATAATAAACAAGAGAAATGTTTGGTAAATATATAATAACTATTCAATAATAAAAGATGAAATAGTAAATGAGCTTAAAAGCTGCTGTAGTTTTATTCTGATATAATATTTAACATTATTAACTAAACTACTAAATAAAGTCTGGATATTGAAGTTATTTTATTACTAATATAGCTTACGTTATTATTGTGCCAACGTTTGTTATATTATATTAATATAAATGATAAAACAATGTAATTAAATAAGTAATAAGTGAATTATTCTGCCAAAATTTAACGTAAACTATTTTTTATTCTTCTTCGTTTATTAGATTAATCTTAATTATAGTCTTAAAAAAATAGTACATGTTTTTTTTTTATTGTTAAAAATATTAATGACTGACATAAATGCATTTTTCCCCCTCGAAACTTAAATATTTTTTAAAATATTTTTAATTGTTTTGATGTTAATTTTTATTTTCATTCTTTAATAATAATATTTATTATATTATTTAAGTATAACTCACCTATTGACAGAAATAATTATAAATTTCTCTTCACTCAACTTAAAAATATCTACATATTTTATATAGTTTACCTTATTTAGCAGTGTTTCACTCCTTTATTTTTATATTTGTAAAGAGAAGGTCAACTACCTAATGTCAAGTAAATTTAGAAATCTCTCCCTAAATAACAATTACAAACCGAACTTCACCAGCGGTTCCGTCATATGTTCAACGAAAGATGATAATGTGCTTACAAAGTTAATATTTTCGTACATTTTTTTTTTTTTTTGTTTTCTCGAAGGATCTAAATATACAATAGTCTCCTTTGATCTTACACTTAATTGTTATTTTAATAAGTAATAACTTTACATATAGACACTGATTGCAGTTCAAAAATTATGTTGTATATCTTTTGCAGGTTAGCTTGCCTCTTAATCAGGACA